TGTAAATGGAATAATGGATAATCGATCTGTTGATCGTTAGTATATGACGGTCAAGTATATGCTTGATGACCACTAGCTCAGATCAACTGATTCTTTGCCTTTGTCCTCTTCCTGTAAGTTTTAAGTGTAAACCACCCCCCCGCTTAGCCCTATATAAAATGGCCTCTTTCTGAGCTAGCCGCCTCTCTGAGCTACTTGGCTTCGGGAGTGCCGTCTGGCCAGACTAATAAAGGTCTATTTGCCAACTTGCCTGGTGTGTTCCTTCCTGGGTGACTCTCTCTGTCCGACAAGCTCCTGGAGCCTCGCTGAGCTTCTGAGCTCAGCATCGTGGAAGCCTCTTGGCTGTTCACGCTCCAGAAGTAAAAGTGAGACTTAAGTCTTACAGAAGCACACATTTTGCAGAAATAATTTGGCAGAGTCTCTCCAGGAGTACTCCAGGCCTCAAAAGGCAAAACCCAGCAAACCCTGAGGAGTGGGAGTATTAGACAGCGAAGTTAGATAGAAACGTAATAGGACAAAAGGTGAAAAAACAACTGTGGCTCAAGGCAATCAGCTGGAGGCCATGCCTCAAGATAACAACAAAAGGACCAGGCCTGCATACTTCCTGAAGAGATGAGATAGTCTAGTAAAGTCTAGATAGGCATCAGTTGCCTCAGTGGGTGACCAAGACCCCTAAATCCATCACCTACCTGAGAAGTTCTTTTTCTTTTCATAAACTCTTGCTAAGTGACTTGCTTCCTGGTCCACTTTTACCTAAGCAACTATTCTTGTAACATTATTGGTTATTCATAGCTTGTATCCACGTGAGTTTTGCTCTACAAAACTTTGCTATAAAGTGGGGATCCCGGGCTACCTATTCTCTTTCAAGAGCTATATCTTTCCTCCTCAATACATATTTTTCCTACTCAACCTCCACTGTTCCTAGAATTCATTCTTTAATTTTAGAGAACACAAACTTGGCATATCAGATATCTAACAGGTTGGGGGACAATATTTTCTTATTTCATCTCCTGTGACAGGAGAGTTGGATTCCCAGAGTTATTAAAATATAATGTCTTATTCTCAAAAGAAAATTATAAGATGTACAAAGAAATAGGAAAGTATGGCTCATTCACAAAAAATAAAGAATTAGAGACCATCTCTGAAGAAATCCAGACAATGGAATTATTAGTTATTAATGTTAAATCAACTAGCATAAATATATTCATGGAACTAAAGAAAACCATAGGCAAAGAAATAAAGGACACCAGGAAAATGAGGTACAGACAAAATGAGAATATAGATGCACCCAAAGTACAGTGGAGTTACATCCAAACAAATCCATTGTAAGATGAAGATACTGAAAATGCACTTTGGGCTGGGGATTAGCTTAGTGGTTCTGGCGCCTGCCTTGCAAGTGCAAGGACCCGAGTTCGATCCCCAGTACCAAAAAAAAAAAAAAAAAAAAAAAAAAAAA